ATCATCATTGAGAGAACACCAAAAACAAGAAGGGACTTGTTATGAGAGTTTATAATTATCAAAATTCTACTCATGTAAGAGACAGTTTATTATTTCTTACTTTATGTAACTTTCAGAACAGTTATTCAATGTAATTTATCTCCTCAAGTGATAGTGAGATTTTTCTAACTTTTAAGCATGCAGTGATTGAGTGGTTCTATCTCCAAACTCCTTTTCCTATATTTCAAATTATTTTACAGAGATAATTCAGTGTTTTAATTGCTTATGGTCAGTAGTTTAATACATTTAGGGCACGAAGAGAGGTTCTCTAGAAAGAGCTGGAAATGTAAGTTCATAGAACCAAAATCAGGGTGAAAGAATACATGCATATTTCCCTAAACAATGGGGCTTTCCATGCAAGGACTTTGTATTTGGACATGACAATATCTATATTTTAGGCTAGCTCCTTGTGCAGTCTTATGGTTTGTGTTTGGATGGCCCCCGAAGCCTCATAAAGGCATGGAAGTGGATGAATCTAACATTTGTGATTAGTTCATTGTCTAGCACTTGAGGGCTGTACCCGCCCAAGGGCAGAGCCAGCATACAGTATACGATGAGGATGGAGGGGAATTTTTCCTTTTTTGCCTTTTTGCTGTTGTCACCTGCAGCCACCATGAATGGCTGCCCCTTAGCCACACCACCTTGCTTTGGAGCTAGCTGAGTATGGACTGAAACCTCCAAAACTGTAGGCTAAATAAACATTTCCTTCCCTAATTTGGGGCATCAGGTATTTTGTCTCAGCAACAGAGAAAAGTAACCAAGACATGCAGCAAAGTGAAAATGAAAACACTGAGATCCCATTTTACTCCAGAAAAATGGCCATCATCAAGAAACAAATAATAACAAATTCTGACAGAACTGTGGGGGAAAAGGAATACTCCTTCACTGTTGCTGGGGATGTAAACTAATACAACCACAATGGAAATTGCTCAAAAAAACTAAAAATATAAATTCTGTTTAACTCAGCTGTTTCCCTTCTTGGTATTTTCCAGAAAGAATTAAAGACATCATATTGCAGTAGCACATGCATATCCATATTTAAGCAGGGCAATTCATAATAGCTAAATCTTGGAAGCAACCTTTAAATAGATGAATGGATTTTAAATGTGATATTTAGACACCATAGAGTACTACGCTGTCGTGGGCACCTGAGCTGGAGATCATTCACACTTGTGGTGCTGAGGGCACTCAGCACAGAGGAATGCCACAAGGGCACTGAGCATCAGGAGAACAGGTACTCCAGCCGCAGAACACTGGCATGAGAGGCAAGCTAGTTGCTGGGTAGAGGGGTTTCACCTGACATCAAACTGTGGCGTGTATAAATAAATGCACTGCAGTTGTCGATAAGTTCCTTTCCCATCTGGGGGGAGGGCTGACCTCAGCTTTCTGTATATTCTCTTATTTTTATTTCTCCATCCTCCCACAATCCTCCCCCTGTCTCCCCTGGAACTTTGAGAACTGCCCTGGATGGGTCTTTGACATCAAAATTTGGAAATACATAGGATGAAGTATCATAAATAATGTCTCCACTTCTATAAACATTTCAGTAGTAACTAGACCAAACTGCAGCAAAAGATAATTTGTTTAAATGTAATTTTGGTAAGTCTCTGACTAGAGAGGAAATAGGAAATTTATCTCCCTTAGAAATCTTTGACAGCTAAATATAGAACATACAGTTTTGATATACAGTTGTTTAGAAATTATCTTATAACTTTGACAGATAGTAAAGTGATCTACCTGAAACAGTGTGTTCTTGTTGTTGTTATTGTTTTTATTAATCCAAACCTGCTAATTTATTGTCAAATGGATGTAACTTTCTTGAGATAATTTTCATAAGTTTATAATTTTTATAGGAAAATTGAAATGAAATTTTTAGTATTTGTGGCCTACTTTTGTTTTGTATTAATGTTAGATGTCAAACATCAATGCTTTTCTTTTTAAATCCACCTTCTTTCCATTAAATAGAAAATATTCCAGCTAAGCCTTAGTACTAGGGATCTTAAACTGCATAGAAAACTAATCTGAACCATGAGAGTAATAAAACCCTAAAAGTCTAATTGTTACTGTAAAAAAGAGAGGAAAGTAAGGTGGATTAAGGGATATAACCGCAGGTATGTTCAAGAGTGTAGGATGGAAAACCATATAACTGAGCTTTTGTTGGATCACTGAACGGAACTGTCTCCAATATCACTGTATGAATGTGCACTTTATATGCTTTAATTTAGTGTTATGAACAACTGTTTCCTGGAAGATAATGTGTAGCCTGTTAACTGGTGATTTCGTACTTTATATATTTTTCTAGAAATACTGTATTATTTGTACCCTTTCACTACATTGTTTTTTTATGTCCTTTTTTTTCTTCTCTCTTTAAATAAAAAAAAGTAAAAAAATAAAAATAACTATCAAGTAATATCTAAAAAAAAAAAAAAAGAAAGAAAACTAATCTTAGTGTCTCCAGAGACCCATACTGGAACTCTGGGCTCTGAGCAAGAAAGCAACACTCCTTCCTTCCTGGCAAGCAGCCGTGGCCCGAGTGAGTGGCGGGTGAGCCAGGACGAGAACCAGTCAGCGTCTCCCATGAGCCTACGGGCACCCAGGCTGAGAATCAAGCATCCCATCCCCCCACCCCATTCGCAACTGGGGGCCAGAGGTCTGAGCAGCTCTTGGGAGGCTGACCATATGCAATATAGCAAACATTGGGGATTTCCTTCTATGTTCTCATTGGAGGCAAATATTGTTTTCACTGTTTTGCTTTGTTCTGATTGTTTTGCTCTATTCAATATCCTGTTTTTATAGGTTTTATAATGTTCTGTATTTGGTTTGATTTTGCTATACTTGACTGAATGGACAACTATTGTGAAGATAACGAGGTATACTGTGGCACCTATTACTGCTATCCCAGTATCCTGCTGTGAAGTTCTGTACCAATTTCACTGCACTGTCTCGACTGGCTTTGTTCTGTCTTGTTCTGTTGTATTTTACTACCTACAAAATTAAATATATATATATATATATATATATATATATATATATTCAAAAAAGAAAACAAATAAAATGTTAAAGGCACTAGAATAAGAGCACTTCTTTGCACTTCATGCACAGAGCAAATGATAGAGACAATGTATCTCAAAAGGCAACTGTGGCACACAATATCCTGGTGTCACCCTTCTTCCACTCTTAGGTCCATTCTGAGCTGAGTACAAAGGGGTCGCTTTCTGTGCCCAGCGCTTGCTCCTTACTACTGGTCTCGATAAAAATAAACTCAACGAAAACTATTGGATGCTCTCTATCTAGGACGACTCTGTAGTGTGTGTGTGTTGGGAAGAGTGACTTTCCTCTGAGACCACACAGTCCCCTGACCCTTGTTAGAGATAATTAGCTAAGGGAATTCGGTGGCAGGGGAAATGCTACTCCATAGGGGGAGTCAGAAACAGCAGGATCCAAACCCACATCAGCCGGGAACCCATCACAGATCCCCTTGCAGTCCTGTGCTCCCACTGTCCCCTCCCTCATGCTGGCTGGCAGTGAGCTCCCTGCCTGGGGCTGGCACCTGGGTACGTGGGTGCCCTGTGTCCCCTAGGTGGTGTGACCCGTGTGCCCACTCATCCATGCAGACTCTGCTCTGTCCTGTAGTCCCTTCATTGTTCCCCCTTCTGAAGAGATTCCCGACAGGCCGTCTTTTTCCTGTCCTTGTCTACACTGGTGCCATCTCTCTTGGACTTCCATGTGAGTCCCAAGGATGAGGAGATCTGTGGATGTGGCATTTGGGAGGCTGCAGTCTCACTTGGTGAGTTAACGACTTCCAGACCTATGCCTCTCAACCACCATGGAGCTACCGTGAAATCCAGAGCAGTGCAGTTCATTATGCCAATACTTCACAGTCCAAATGCTTAAGCTTTATCTCCATGGCCTTGATCAAATTGTAAAATCTGTGGTTTAATATCATTTATTCTGTGGGGAACCTAAAGAGAGATTTCTGAGCTCATTGGAGAAGTTCTTCTCCCAAAATGAATTTAGTGAATGGTGTGCCTGTTGAATTGGAAAATCTTCAGAATAAAAATCTAATTACAGTCTGCATCACATGAGAGTTTAGCAAATAATGAGCTCTTTTGAAACTGCAACTTTAAAGTCTGGTATGGAGGATTGGCGAAGACACAGGCAGTGTTCCTCTGAGCGTGGGGAGCTTTGCTTCTACCTCGAGTCCCTGAGGCACAGAAAGAGCCACTGGTCTCTCAGGCAGCCCCACTTTCTTCACCCTGGGACTTGGTCATTCCGTCCTCCGGACAATCTAAGATACCCCTTTTCTGGATCCTTGTGAACCAGTTAGATAATTGTTGGTATTAGAACAGTATTTGATGTAATCCTTTAAAAATCTTGGGAAATTTTAGTTACCTCGATGAATACCCAGAAGTCACAGAAAGTGTGCCAGATGTCTTGGTTTCCATGACAATGGAAGCACACCTAGGTGCTAGAAGGGACAAAAAGCAGCACTGTAATTAAATAATCAAGGTGAAGAAACTGTTCTGTCACTGTGTTTAGAAGCCCATTCCTGAGGTTCAAATGAGAATGAACACTTCATGTGTCATTAAAAACAATATCATGGCAAACAAGAAATCAGCCAGAAGTTACTTAGAGTCTAGGATTGCAAAAATGCAGTCCTGGTGAAGGGAAGGTTTAGCAATGAGCAGCAGCTGAATTGACGTGGCAAGGTGAAAGCAGGTGGTGAATGAACACTGACCACCAAGAGAACCTAAAAGCAGAAAGAAAATTCACAGGGAGAAGCCTAGCTGAGTAATCTTTGGCTAATTTGAGAAACAGAAAAAGAAAGGAAAGGAAAGCAAATGACAAGGGAAGGGAAGGAAAGGGAAAAGAAAGGAGAGGAGCACAGAGGAGAGGAAAAAGGACAGAACCAGGATCTGTATTTCACTTTATGATGGACAAAAATGCATCCACCTCTACAGAGCTCCCAGGGACTACACAGAGGCTGATGAGCACAGAATGAAAGAGTCGCAGTAGATGGGGTCACCCTGCACTTCCTCTCGAGGACAGAAGACATCTAGCCCATCTGCCAGGGTTCTGGCCCCTGTGTGCCCAGTATGAACACGTGCTGACGGGTAATTGTATTTCTCATTTTCTGGATAAAATTGCAAGTGTGTGTGTGTGTGTGTGTGTGTGTGTGTGGTATTTCTTTAGCATGACAGCTTCCCAACTGCCTTATTCACTTGGTAAAAAATAAGGCTCTTTTGTTAAAAAGTTTGTGCAACAAATCAGAAAACACAAGGTGCAATCTCAGTGTCACACGGTGTTCCGCTTCTTCATGGGCAGCTGCAGTGTAATTACTGCGCTGCCTCTGTCCCCGGCAGGAGTCCTGATGGTGGAGTGATCTTTGGAGGAGCCAACACCGCAGGGGCCCAGCAGGCCCCCAGGACTGGGGTGGGCTCTGGGCAGACACTTCATTGCTTTCTTGGCCTCCTTGTCCCCCTCAATAGTGTAAACCACTGGCCTCCGGGCTGTTTGAGACTGGAAGGAGGTAAAGAATATCAGCTGCTTCCACTAGAGCCTGCTGCATAAAAGACACATAATGTCAGTCACATGGACAGGCAAATAGCAAGTCATTCTTACTCTTATATTTTGAGATATTTAAAACATGGAAATTTACAAAGACTAATAGAAAAAAATGCGTATACACTACCATTCAGAATTAACAGCAATTCCTTTATGATCATACTTTCTTCCAGCTATTTTTAAAGAAATAAAACATTATAAACCCCAATCTTTATTCCAGTTTCCTCAGCAGAAGCATTTACCACCATCATTTTGGGGTTATTTATAAATGCCTATATATTTTTGTTAACCTTATATACTATCATTTTTGTTAATTTCCATCTCACAAGAGGTGGACGGGAAGCCCTGACTAACAGTGCTGGTTTGATAATAATTATTGGCCCTCAGCTACTAAATCAAAGGGTCCCACTTACATAGTATCGATATTATCACCACCATCTCTCACCACTGTGGGAACTTGTTGTAGCCTGTAGAGTTATGGCTTTGACAGTCCTTCCATTTTCAATAAGTGTCAAAATTTTAATACATAGAATGTATTGTTGGAAACACATGCTATTACTATTGGTGAGGGGTTATTCGGGCCTTGAGCTTGACCCTATTTTGTGCCCCAGTGTGCCCAAGAGATGGAGGACATTCCTTTTTAATAAGAGTAACAGCTCTTAATTTTTACTAACTTCCTAGGAAAATATTCAAAAGTATTAATCAATGGGATTCTGCTTTGAGTGAGTTCACATTATGCAGGATATTCACCCTAAGACACAAAACCATCAGCAAGTAATAGAGGGAAGCATCACCGATGATGCACCCGCCTTCAGTTCCATGGTACCAGCATAGACACACCACCAGTGTCAGATTCCTGAAGTGGAGCTTTCTTGTCATAATAAATGTGATAAAAGGAAGGAAAAGGCTCTGCAAAAAGGCTAATAGTTCCTTCAGATTGTTTCTATCCTGCCTTCATCTTTACAGAGAAGCAGGCTCAACATCAGAAAAGTCCCTTCACCCCAGGGTTGAGCCGCCCTTCAGTCCTGGAAAACATAATTGTATAGAGACTGAGGAAAGGGGCCGTGACAGAGGCGGTGACGTCAGCTCTGTGTTATTATCTCCCTGATGGAAGTTCCCGCTCCACACCCAGAAGGGAGGGACCTGGGGCTGAGACGCAGCTGAGGACGACCTAGTTGTCTTTTCGACATTCTGCTTGATTACTTTCTGTCTTGCTGAGTTTGTTGGGACTTAGTTTCCCCGTACTGCTGAGACAGTTCTTGGAATGAGATTTTAACCGGCAGGAAATCTGGTTGTTTGATCCACTGGTAGCAGCCACTGTTCCTTTCCAGGGCCTACGGTGACTCAAAGGATTTGACAATTCCTCATTTTAAAAAAGTTGAAAACTTTTCAAAATATTTTATATCCTGCCAAACTGGAAAGTGCTTAAAGTGTTGGTAATCAGAGCAGGAGCCCACACCATGCTCTGCAGACCACAGAATGATTTAATGACCTTCTAGGTAGAGCGTGCAGTAGTTCTAAGGAAGCTTCCATTCTGCCACTTCACCAGTCCTTCATTTTACGACTCGCACACCCGAGTCTTCATAGGGACCGTTTTCTCCCAACAGGCACCATGTGGTCACAGCCGATGGAGAAGTGCAACGCAAGCGCTTTTGAAGGCTTCATCCTGGTGGGCTTCTCGGACCGTCCCCGCCTGGAGCTGGTCCTCTTCGTGGTGGTCCTCACCTTCTATCTGTTCACTCTGCTGGGCAATGCGGCCATCGTCTGGCTTGCGGCCCTGGCGCCCCGGCTGCACAGCCCCATGTACTTCTTCCTGGCCAACCTCTCCTTCCTGGACGTGTGTTTCACCACGGGCTCCGTCCCTCAGATGCTCTACAACCTGCGGGGCCCGGACAAGACCATCAGCTACGTGGGCTGCGCCGTCCAGCTCTACTTTGTCTTGGCCCTGGGAGGCGTGGAGTGTGTCCTCCTGGCCGTCATGGCCTATGACCGCTACGCCGCGGTCTGCAGACCCCTGCACTACACGGCCATCATGCACCCGCGGCTCTGTGGGCAGCTCGCCTTCGTGGCGTGGCTGAGTGGCTTTGGCAATTCTCTCATAATGGCACCCCAGACCCTGATGCTGCCCCGCTGTGGGCACAGGAGGGTGGAACACTTTCTCTGCGAGATGCCAGCACTCATTGGCATGGCCTGTGTGGACACCATGGCCCTGGAGGCCCTGGCTTTCGCCCTGGCGATCTTTATCATCCTGGCACCGCTCGCCCTCATCCTCATCTCTTATGGCTACATCGCCAGAGCGGTGTTTCGAATCAAGTCAGCCGCGGGGCGGAAGAAGGCCTTCAGCACCTGCAGCTCCCACCTGATCGTGGTCTCGCTCTTCTACGGCACCATCATCTACATGTACCTGCAGCCCGCAAACGCCTACTCCCAGGACCAGGGCAAGTTCCTCACGCTTTTCTACACCATCGTCACCCCCAGCGTGAACCCCCTCATCTACACGCTGAGAAATAAAGACATGAAAGAGGCCTTTAAGAAAGTGTTAGGGAAGGGAAAGCAGGATAGTAAAGACTGACTAGCAACTTTATATAGTTGTTCGACTTGGTAGCAAATAAAGGAATATTCTGGCATTACAGACTGAAGACACACTTTTAAATGATTGGAAATTGGTAATTCAGCTACAAGGAGAAGATGAGAATGATTGGAAATCCGGTGGCTTAGCTACGAGAAAAGGAAACATTCTGCCTAAGCCTTCAGTTATGGTGTCTCTTCAAGTTCCTCTAAATCAAGCATTCCCACCAAGAGGGCACTGATCAGGATAGCACAATGAACAGCCAGCCCATGCTTGCAAAATGCCAGCCATGAATGTGCTCAGCAAGTACCTTTGTTCCTATGCCACTTTCTAGCCAGTGATTTACACTTAATAGGTCCTCAACAGATATAAAAAGTAAGATCTTAGAAGCATTTTTCTAGAAAAGTCAAATGTGCCAAATGCGTGAAAGACAATCAATGTAAATTGTTCAGTTATTGAGCTTTAGCACCTCCAGTGTCATGGACTTGTGGATCCTGCATATTTTACTTACAGAACTGAATTTAGTGACAGGTACATTTGACTGTCTGAGGCATCAGAGAATGAGGAAGATAGGAAGCAAGATGTGTGGTATTTGCTTTACACAAAAGGAAGAACTTCTTGTCAACAATAATGACAAGCGATGGCTGAGGGGTCTTCTTAGACTGTTTGAAGTTGACTTGATCTCTACTTTTCCCGTGTTAGCAGGATAAGCTGCACAGAGGAATAAAGCAATACGATGAACTGTTGGGATCCTCGTGATTGATTATTCCCTCCATGCTGGTAACTCCTTCACTTTTGCACTAGTGACAGGCCTACATCCCGTCTGATGATGGAGATTGATTGGGTGGCTGGTGCAAATGAATAAGTGCTCTTCTCAAAGGTAACTGTGTTCCTCACACCTGACATCATCTGGGCGAAGCCCATGTCAGAGCTTATGGAAACCTGTATCATGTTAAAGTGTCTGCAAGTAAATAAGGGCCACAGTATCTGAGCACATCATCAGTGCTGCAGTAAGAGCTACATTAAGGGTGGGGTTAGTCTCATGGAACCAGAAAAACCTTGAGAAGGTTACTTAATGCAGAGGTCCCTGGGGGTGGGGTACAGCTCAGCGGCACAGCACCTGCCTGGCAAGCACAGGACCCTGAGTTCGATTCCTGGTATTAAGATAAAATATAGAGGTCCTAGAAATAGACCATATGACTAATAAATTTTCCTCAAAGCATGTAATTATCAGTCATGATGTGCATATTTTCTTATTTTGTAGTATTAACTCTTCTATTTTCTCTAGACAGATGAGATTAGATTAGAGTATGAGGACTAGTTAGTGTTTATGAGAATGGGTAACTGATTTAGTTTTGATTATGGAGGGTACCCTGCTATTCCCATAGAAAGGCAAAAATGTTAGGATATGTTTGTTTCCTCCTATTTTATTACCCTAAGTAAAACATGAGATTAGCCATGTGACATTTGCAGGGAGGGGTACCAGGGATCAAACTCACAATCTCACACTTGGCAGGCAGACACAGTGCCACTGAGCTATATCCCCAGCCCTTCATGGTGACATTTAAGGGATCCTTAAATAAGGATCTGGCATTTCCCATCTCTTCAACCAAAACACAACTTAATAGTATGAGTTCTCCTGGCATAAAAAGGAACTATGCATCTCTAAATCCTTCAGAATCTTTCTCTCGAGGAATTTCATCACATTCCTGTATTGTTCAGATGCGCATTGCTTTCAAGTTAACATTTTATAGTAGGAGCAGGAAATCAAGAGACAGGATATAACTTCTATTGATATGTTAATCTTGGAAAACTTATGGAATTCCTGATCAACTTTTTGAAATTTGACATATGCTCCACAAAGTTTTTGTTTTGTTACTGTTGGTCCCGCCCCCAAAAAAATATGCCTTTAGTTTGGACTTTACAGTTGCAGGGTAAGTTCTTGAGAGCAGATTTGGAGACAGAGATTGGGATGCAGGAGTTTATTACGGGGCTCTGTTAGTTACTTTTCTCATTGCTGAGGCAAAATACTTGACACCCAGAGTTAAAGGAGGAAATATTTATTGTAGCTCGCAGTTTGCAGCTTCAGTGCATAAGTGACTGGCTTCAAGGCCAGGCGGCATGGCAGAGAGCATCACAAAAGAGAAACAGGTCATGATGGGCAGAAGGCAGCAAGGCAGTAAACAATGAAACAGCAAAGCAGAAGCCTGTGTCTCCCTTTGCTCCCTTCAGGCTGCCCGCCCCTTGGTGGTGCCACTCACACCCAAGGTGGGTCTTACCGTTATCCACATCCAGAACTATGCCAAAGCAATCAGTGGGCTAATTCAGTAATCATACACCTTTAACCCCACCATCACACACTTATTCCCAGCATCACATACCCTAGATCTGGCCACCTTGGAAAACTCCCAACTATGACTGCATGAGGCTCTGGGGAGACATCTAGACACAAGCCATAACAGAGGTGATCCTTATAAAACACTTGGGGAAACAAGACTGGGCAGAGGTAGAGGTTGATCTTTAATGCATTTCCAAAGAAGATCCCAGAAGATCCCAGAGGAAACTGTGAAGCTGACATGCCTCTTTAAAATTGTCTGTCCTTGAACTCAAGGGACAGGCTTTTATTCAATCATTCTGTTTGGTTATTATCTGTCCCTGCCTTGGAAAAAGGAATCTCTTCAGGAAAGTTGGTCCCCTCCAGCTGAGACAATCCTTAAAGAAAGTTGACAGGAGATAAATATGTTATTTTTTTCCTAGTAAGCTCAGGTGGCACGTCACAGCACCTAACAAAGTCCACTTTTGATCCACCTGGAGGCATTTCTTCATCTTTGTTCTTGGAATGGCCCTTCTAGGACACAATGAGACTTAGCTCTCTGGGGGAAATTTAGACTAAGAAGGTTAATGAAATGAGCAACAGCTTTCATGTTTTAGAAACTCACACTGATAGGCATCATGCCTTTGCCTATTATCCATTCCAGATTTTCTTTACCTTCAATGATGGTAGGAACCTAAACAGATTGTCTGACTCAGACCCTGATTCCTGGTAGAACTCCCCTCTGGTCATCAGATCTGACTTAATTCACTTGTCCATTTAAAATTGGTAAGGACTTGCCAACAGTTGCCAAAGTAGATCATCTAGGTGCCAAAAATCTTATTTCCAGTCCCTGTTATACAGCATCTGTATCCCCCTGGATGACAGAGTACATCACCCCTGCCAAGGCGGTGACTCCACTTTCTGCCCACCAGTATCCTGGCTCAAAAAGCTTTATACATTAGACTCCCGCTGTATTCCTTGCTGAAAGTTTAGTTCCTTTGAAAACCATACCCATAGCCCATAAAACCCCAAATTATGGGAATAAGAAACCAAACTTCATAGAGCGTATCACTGAGAATGATGAGGAGGACAGCTATTCCTGCTTTGCTCCGTGCATTCTATACATGGGAGACAAAACATACAGAAAGCATCTACTGCTCCTTGGAGCACTGCTCCCATCTTAGAAAAGTGTTACCTCCAAAGTGGTCCTTTAATATATTATAGTAACCCACTTTGACTTTCCATTATCTTGATTTGAAGCCCTGTATTACTCTCACCATCTTGTTGACTGATGTCCCCCTATTCTGTTTTGATGGATAGTACCAGGTTCGAAAGTTTAGGCAACAGCTGTGAAGATAGTGAGATTCATTATGACGCCCATTCTCGATGACTTTTATCTACTTTTGAAGACCTACAATGTCTCCAATGTTTTGGTTTTGTCGGTTTTGTTCTTTACTGTTTTGTTCAATTTTATTATAACTGATGATATAGGCAATTCTATTAGAAATAGCGGGAGGCATTATGGTAACCATTGTTGATCACCTTGTATTATGTTTTTACATTATCTATTATGTCCACCGTTTTGATTTGACCGACTCTGTTCTGTTATGTCACATTTGGTTTTACTCTCTTCCAAAAAAGTAATAAGAACTGTGGGAGCAATAAAACCCAAAGTGTGTAATAGTCATTGTACAAAAGAGAGGAAAAGAAAGTGCTCTAAATGATATAACTGCATGTATATTTAAGTGTATAAGATAGAAAATGATATCACTGAGTTTTATTGGATCATTGAACAGAACTGTTTGCAGTATCATTGTTGGAATGTCCACTTTACAAGCTTTAATTTTGTGACTTGAACAATTATTTCTAAGATGACAATATGTAATCCATTAACTAGTGATTTCCTACTGTTTATTTTTTTCTGTAAATCTGTATAACTTGTACCCTTTCTCTGCTTTTTTTTCTCCTTAAATAAAATTTAAAAAAAAAAACAAAGTGGTCCTTTAAACCTGCCTTTAAAAATATATAACACTGCCCTCTCAGGATACCATCTTCTGGGCAGTGCAGTACACAGTGTAACCAACAGAAGCATGACCGTTGACCACCACATACTTTCATCACTGCAGGTTGCTCTGTTGGTCTGACGTAGACTATATGGAATCTCTTGCCAGTGGATCAAAATCCACACTCTGCTGCTCATAGACGCTAATGAAGGCTCAAGTCTCTGGACAAGACAGATATACTCAAATCCAGTATACACTTTTCAAAATAGACTGCTGCCTCTTCTGGCTTGGAAAGAGTCTAAAGGTGGTAAATGTGACTCCACATTGATTTCCAGCCTGCTGCCTCAGTGTAGGTAGGTGGGAGCTGATTCATCACCTCTGTCTATTACTCTAACTACTGTATTTAGCAGTCACCCAGCACAGGGGTGACTAAAGACAGAGCTGGCTGATATTAACCAGCTTAGGCTACTACCTGCACATTTAGTGCAACCTCCGTGTTGACACTGTTTTAAAGTATTCACTCTTACGACTACTGATAAGAGAATTCTTTATGATTTTATCAGAGTTTCAGCATCTCCTCACACTCTCATTTCCATTCAGCATGAACCATCATCTCATCTATTCTGCTATTAAAGAGTGTCCCTTACACAACTAGAAAAACACAACTAGTCCACTGTGTTGATCAGATTCCCATCCTTATGACAAACTATCTAAGAATAATAGCATAAAAGAGAAAAGGTGTGTTTGGGCTCATGGTTCCAGAGGTTTCGGTTCATGGCCAGCTGGCTCCTTCGTTACGTGCTTGCTTAGGGTAGAAACATCATGGTGGAAGGATGTGGCAGAGGAAAGTTGTCACCTCTGGTAGCTAGGAAACAAAGAACAGACACAGCCAAAGTCAGAGAGGAAGTCTCTCAAGGGGGCATCTGATAGCTCACTCCCTTCAACCAGGCTCCACCCTCTAACTTCCCATCAGTCTGCAGTAGGCACGAAATTATTAATCCATCAGTGAATTAATCCACTGACAAAGCTGGAACACCTATGAGACAATTACATTCCAAAAGCTTCACTTCTGACATTGCTGCCTTGGGAACCAAGGATAAGTTTTGGAGGACATTCCAGATCCAAACCACAGTATTTTGCCTACCTTATTATTGTAGAATTTACTTCTTTTTTTAGTAAATTTCTTCTAAAAAACCAGAATTCTGTATAAAATACTCATCATTTTGCCTTCTTACAGAGCACTTGTAATTTATACATTTAAAATAGTTTCTTTCGAGTAATAATTTCTGATAAACATTCAGTACAAAGAATAATATAAAGTTTATTTGAGCACAATGCCAACATCAGAACTATATAAACACTGTCAAGGAGTCCTTCAGCTCCACCTCTAAGACACTCACACATTTCTATGTCTTCACAAACTAGCAATCTCTCTAAAGTGATCAAAATCTGCAAGGTTCTTGGTCTCTCACCTTTCCGAGTTTCCTTATACATTTGTATCTACCCGTCACTCTTGAATTGCCATGTTTTGAGGGGCCTCACTAGTCTGTACTTTAAGCCCTGCACATATCCACCATGCAGGGATTAGATGCAAGAATTTCTGAAATAGCAATATCGAATCCTCCCAGAACCATACCCATTCTAATTCCAGGAACATGAGTTAAAATTTGTGTGAGCCATAATATCAGTTCACAGGAACTCATCTGTCTAACCAAAGAAGGCCCCACATTTAATCTGAATTAAATTTAATCTGCGCTACGTCTAATAATGTCCTGTACCATCTGATCATGAAGGAGAAACTCAAACTGAGAAAGAGGACTGGGCATCCTGCTTCATCTACACATTCCCTCCACCCTGCCCTCTGTGGATCATGTTCTCAACCACTGTGAAGCCAGACACACACACCCAGGCACACGTGCAGCCCAGCCCTGCACCTCTCTTATTTCTCTCTCATGTGCATTTCAGGTGGTCATGTTTCTATGATCTGTAAACTCGACACTGTCTGTGACCACAGGCCTTCAGATTTTTGCTTAGTGTCTCAAATTTTCACCACTTGGCTTTTCCTAAGATACTGTTCTGCTCTGTCTTACACAGGAAGTTCTTCCTGAGAGCTAACCCAGAGGGATCCAAACCTCTAATGCTAGTCACTAAAATGTACTGTGTCCAGACCTGTCTTGTTCTGATGCAGAAAAGATAATCAATTAAATGAGCAGAAATTAATTCCCTAACCTATATTGTTCTAGAAGACTGTTCCCTACAAAGAAAAAGAGAGGCAGTGACACCAGTGAGTAGCCCTCTGGGAAATGAGGGCAAGAGGGCGGGCATTGCCAAGACTTCCCTAAGTGCCAGCCAAAGAGAGGAAAGATAATTCAAATGAAGCAGATGTGGGTTTCATAGTACATCCCTGGCTTCCCAACAAGTTCTGAAATTTAGGGAAGTTTGCCTTACCTCTTTACACTTCCTTCTCTACACCAAAGACAAAATAAAAAACTGTTGCTATTCTATGGGACATTGGTATAGGTAATGACCAGCAGTATAATATTAATGATGATGGTGATGATAAAGATAATTATATATATATATGTATCATTATTGTTATTAATCTTGACAAAGTCTTTCTACACTTAGTAACTGGACATTATTTGCCTTTTCCCTTCAGCAACATTAGGAAAAGAGTTACTATATGTTAACCTGTATTTTTTCAAACTCATAGGTGATTTATCATTGTTACTTGAGTATATTTCCCTGAATATTTGGAAATTTAAAATCTTTTCACAGGGCTGGGGATTTAGCTGAGTGACATAAGTGCCTTCTGGCAAGTGTGAGGTTGTGAGTTTGATCCCTAGCACCACCAAAAAATAAATAAATAAAATATTTTCACATGGATTTTCTATTCAGAGTTATAAGTTCAGATTATATATGGCATTTTCCCCCTCGGACTTAATAAATACTCTCCTTACATATACTGTGCATTAACCTTTTGTTCATAGCTACTACTCCAGAAACCAATATGTAAATACATATTAGAAAGTACAAAATTAAATCAGGCATAGAAAAATCCATACTAAAATATTAATCCTTTCTAAACTTGCAAAAATATTTAGGGAACTATATTGCCAGGAGGAGAGTTTAAACCTTCGGAAATCAAAATCTATGAAAGAAAATAATTGTTTGACTATATAGTAACTAAAACTGCTGTGTAAACCAAGGTAATAACATGTTTCAATGGCATATTAAATGGAAGTCTGTTTTATAAAATAAGCATTGAGACAACAAGGTAGGAGCAAAGATGGCAGATAGATAACAACTGGCTACAGAGGCTCCCTGAGATAGTCAACTTAGAATTCAACATAATACAGCGTGGGGAGCCCCGAACAGAAGGAAATGAATTCTCTCATCCCAAGAGGAAACTAAGGTGAGAAGAACCAACCAAACATACAGTCCCGGTGCTATTATTGGAACAGCTAAAGGTTCAGTGTTCTCACCACAGTGGGCAACTTGCCGACCACCCGAGGTCCCACAACTTGCTTGGCCACAACTTGCCAAGCCTTCTGAGGTCCCGCCTCTTGGACTTACTGGAGATGCAGTTACATTTAGTTCAGAGGTCAGCAAGCCGAACAGAGAGCTGAGCTGGCAGAGTGCCTACATCAACCTGTGGAGACTGATGGGAGTGGAGCCATTCCATAGAAAGGGGGGCTCTGATGGACGACATTCTGGGACTGGGCAGGACTGGCAAGGACAAGGGGCAGCAGTGACTTCAGTCATTTGTTCCTTTCCTGAAGGGGATTGGTGGAGTGAGCAAGGCCTGGGTCACATAACCTGGCTGAGACCCAATAGGTTATCCGAAATCAAGTCCCTACAGTGGTGGCGCACACTAACTACACTAAACCAGTGAAGCTTCAGAAGTTTGACTGACCTGGAGGGGAGGCAGCGCAAAGTAATACAGTGCAGGCTACAGCAGCTTAACTGATCCAGAGGAGAGGGGCCAGCATACACTGTCCCTGTCTTCAACTCACTAGCACACGGCAGTAGGAAGGGTCATCTAGCCAGCTCGCTTCAGAAGAATTGTAACCAGCAGAGAAAGAAACTGGGGCCTCCTGGAAGAAGCAAAAAAGATGGGAAGAGGAAGCCTCAACAAAAAGTCCCCAGGTCCCAACCCTAAGAACATTGACCCAGGACAGGTGAATATAAAGGAGAATGAGGACAGCAAACATGCAGTATCAGACATGGCACCAGTGGACATAAAGAGATGTCTTTGGGAACTATAGACAAGTTCAAAAGTGAAATATTTAGCCAAGTAAAGCAAGATATAAGAAGATTAATAAAAGAGATGCTAAGCACCCCTCAAGCAGACACAAATGGAAGAAGAGAGGAACTCAAACAAAGGAGAGAACAATTTGGTGAAGAATATAAAAAAATATAAATTATATGAAGCAGATTCAAAGAGATCACCAGAAAATTAAAAACTCTATGGAAAGATGGCAAATCTGCTTGAAAGAAACTAAAGATAGATTATCCAAACTGGGGGACAATTTTGCAATGTGGGAGTATGAAAGGGAAAACTTTTTAAAAATAACAAGGAAACAAGCAGTAACAATACAAAGGCTAGAAGATGACAAGAGGATCTATAACTTGAGAATAAAGTTCATGTGAATGAAGAAGCAGGGGTACAAACAAAGGAACTACAAAGGCTATTCACAGAAATAATTAAGGAAAACTTCCCAAACACAGGAAAAGGAAATGATATTCTGATGTATGAGGCATACAGAACTCCAACCACCTACAACCAAAACAGAGCTACACCCAGGCATATAATAATCAAGATCCCAGAAATTCAATATAAGAACAGAATATTAAAAGCTGTTAGAGACAAGAAACAGAGCACCTATAAAGGAAGACCCACCTATAAAAGAATAATGGCAGACTTCTCAACACAAATCATCAAGTCAAGAAGAGCCTGGAGTGAAATATTCCAA